AACGCGTGAGGCGATTAAAACTTGGAGAAGGAGATGCTACAGCAATTCAATCTTACTTTTCCAAGATGTAAGCACAATGCTCGGGATTTTATTTTGATATTGATTTGGATGAGGAGTCGCGGTTGAGAAATGTGTTTTGGGTAGATAATCGGTGTAGGCAGGCGTATAAGGAGTTTGGTGATGTTGTTTCATTTGACACCACTTATCTCACTAATAAGTACGACATGCCATTCGTTCCTTTTGTAGGTGTAAATCATCATGGACAGTCGACACTGTTGGGTTGCGGTTTGGTATCGAACGAAGACACTAATACTTTTGTATGGTTGTTCAAAACATGGCTTCAATGCATGCACGGTCAAGCTCCACTTGGTATAATTACTATCAAGACAGGGCAATGCAAAATACAATTGAAATTGTCTTTCCAAATACCAAACATAGATGGTGTTTGTGGCACATTTTAAAGAAGTTGCCGGAGAAGTTTGGCTACCACGTGGATAAGCATTCGATATTTGGGGCTCTACACAGATTGGTGTATGATTCACATTTCAGCGATGAATTTGAAAACGGTTGGGGAACGATGATTGATATGTATGAATTGCATGAGAATGATTGGCTATCAGGATTGTACGAAAACAGAGGACGTTGGGTTCCCTGCTTCTTGAAAACGACTTTCTGGGCTGGGATGTCAACTGCACAGAGAAGTGAGAGTATGAATGCGTTCTTCGATGTCTATGTTCATTCCAAAACCTCATTGAAATAGTTTGTTGAACAGTACGAACGTGCCCTTAGAAGTAAGGTTGAGAAGGAGGTCCAAGCTGATTTTAAGTCTTTCTCGCAAATGGTGCCTTGTGCAACACAGTTTGAAATGGAGCAACAGTTTCAATCAGTTTACACCATTGCAAAATTTCGTGAAGTTCAAGAAGAGTTCACGGGAAATGTGTATTGCGAAGTGCGATCTATTTCGGATGGATGTTCAACTGCGACCTACGAAGTAAGAGAAAAAGTAATGTATGAGGGTTCTACGAGGATAAAGACATTCATCGTGTCATTTGCAATAGATATATGTGGTATCATTTGCACCTGCCACCTTTTTGAGTTTCGGGGAATACTTTGTGGACACGCGATCATAGTGTTGGCGGGGAGACGTGACACTTATTCCAGAGAGGTACATATTGCGAAGGTGGAGGAGAGATGTTCGAAGAGCACACATAAGGGTCGCGGTAAACTATGATGGATTAGTTAGCACTCCTACGCAATTGAGGTATGAAGAGATGTCTAAGGGTTTCCCGGAGGTGGCAAACCTCGCAGCGGATGATGAAATCCATTCACATGCAATCATGGAGTGGATACGATTTCAATGTAAAGACCTTGCAACTACAAAATCGAGTACAAGAAGTAATCTCATTGACACTCAATGTCCAGTTTTATCGAATACTGCGAGCGCTACCATATTGGATCCGAAGTTCACTCGAAGAAAGGGAGCGCCGAGGAAACTTAGAAGAAAAGGCCCATTGAAGACTGCATCGAAGAAATCGAAGGTATGTCAAATAAAGTTATTTCGGATTAGTGGATGTTTCAAAATATAAATTACAATTACCTGCTATGCAGAAACATGCCGGTTCGACATCAAGCCATCATGACAGATCGATAACAAGCCAAAGTCATATGCTTGATGGAAAAATCAACATCCAAGCACCGTTCCATCAACAAAATTCGATGTTGCCCCCAATGCCGTTCTCCCTTTCACAGTTTTCCATCCCCACGCCATTCTCCTCCCCAACATGTCTCGCAAAGTACAAATTTGATCCACTCCCAAAGTCCAAATTTTATGTATACATCGCAAGGTATAAAGGTTCCTCTTATATATGAATTAAAAATACATGCGGCCATTTTGATCATTAACTGTTCACATTGTATGTTAATGTAGGTTAATGTATGCCGTTATATATATTCTTCAATGTTTTGTGGGATTTTAATTATGGCAGCTACTGGATCTGTATTGCACTAGAATGATTTCAGTTTTTATGAGGAGGCAGATTTATTTTGCATGTAATATGCATTGTTGGTTATTTATGGCAGTATTTGTATGATATTTTGATGTTTTTCTCCCATTGTAAATTGTGAAAATGACAGTATTTTTCTCCCATTGTATATAGGATTTCGTCTTCCAACTTTGCATTGGTTTCTTCAATATTTGAATTCTCTGGCAGCTTATAAGATTGCTCGAAAAGAATGTATTTATTTTCTTTCTCTTTCCTTTCTGATCAGCTTGAAGCCTCATCATTAAGGTATTACAATTTCAGTTTGTTGTTGCCATCATTGTGTAGATTTATCACAACTTTCATGTCCTCATAAGACCGTCTTTCTCTCACTCCATTTAGGAACAATTCCAGTTTTCTACTATCTTTGATAACTAAATTATTATATTGATTTGCAATCATTTGGTGAACTTTTGAACTATGAACCCACTATTATAATTTCCTATTGTTATGTCGGTTGACCTCTTTTTGCCTGCCCACTTAATCATTTGTATATTCAAAATTTTAAAGTTAATTGGATGGAGATTGTATACTTACTTATATATTACTTTGTCAGTTAATAGCTATATGTGAAAATAAAATGAAGTGTACTTTTCCTTTCATTATTAATTCACTCCTTCACCTCGTTGTTCTTTACGCCAACCTTCGAATTAGTTTTTACTTTGGCTCTTGGAATTCGTAAGTTTATTGCTTCTGTTAATTTTAGCAAGGAAAACCACTTTGTCTCTATGTTTAATGTCTGGTCATCACTAAAATTGTCTGGTCATGTCCCGGAGTATCTCAAACTCGATCTGCTATATACACCCAACAGAAGCCACCTTCAGTAGATGCAAAAGCTACCATGAAAATCAAGAGAATCAGGGATTCTACCGGCAGCGGGAGCAAACACCCAGTTTATCGGGATTTCTGATCAGCTTGACGCCTCAGCTGTTCCTTTGTTGCCACCTCTCCAACCATTTGTTGCTTTTCTTATTAGATTACAGGAATTAGCATTTCAATACAAATAGGACATTCGAAAGACTATGCATACACATCTCATACTGTAAAATCTCAAGAAGAATATGTATATGTACATAAACAACAATTCAAAAAAACAATAGAAAAACCAACATTTTGTACTCATTATTTCATCCCATGCTTCCTTTCTATGATCTCTACTGTCAGTCATTCGAAAATCTTCGAAATTGATGTGAAGTAATCTACTCATCTCTCGCTGAATATGAAACTTATAACATAATGAGCATCAAATTAACGTGAAAATTAATGATGATGAATTGAGTTTGTATATTTTTGTAAATGATCTGCTTCATTAGCTTTTCTTGCAACATTTCACATAGACCTTAATAGTACAAGAGTTCATACATAAGTTAAATCACCTACATACAAAATTTTCTAAGAAAACCTATTCAATCATTATCTACTAATCAAGCTGGCAGCTCCTCTTTCGGATTCCCTTCCGCGCTTACTTTTGTCGTCTGCACCGTCACATTCACTGAAATCTGGACCTCTTTATTATCACTTATTCGAACTCGAGATTGGAACGAACGGGACATTTCTTCAACTGTTTCATTCTTTGCAGAGTTCATCGACAGACCACTTGATTTTTCATTTATAACCCACTCCCAAAATCCACAATTGTTACTGCAACAAAGGAGCAATCTCCCTTTATTTTTAGTCTCCTTTTTCACGACAAAACATTTCTCGAATCCATGCTTACATAGTGGGCAAGGGCGTTTCTTTTTGCACTCGGCAAAGAAGTGATCTTTACCTCTACAACTATGACAGACTCCGGAGTTCGTTCTGGGCATGCTAACGTGGAATCCACCAGCACCAAGAAAGGTGAAGTCAGTAATATTATTCGATTGACTGAAGTTAGGAAGACAAATGTACATATTCAAACGAAAAGCTTTCACGTAAATAACATCATCCACGAGAAGCAAAATAATCAAACCTCAACACTATTAACAATGGCTTGTGATTTCCCCTTAGATAAATCTACCTCCCTTAAATTACACAGAAATAATGGTCCTGCTACCTCTGTTTTCGCCAGAACCCTCAAATGAATAGTTCTCACTCAAAAATGTTCATGAATAGTTTTCACTACTTGCTCAGATGTATAAACTACCAAAGGCTTCAATGTTCATGAGTAGTTTTCACTCAAAAATCAAAGTTCCAATCCACAACGTAGTGAAAACAAGAAAAATAGAATAATACAATTAACTACAGCTTATTGAACACAGTAAAATGCCCCCCAACGAAATCTGTCAAATAACCCATTTCGAAACCCCCACTGAACTATGTCAAATGATCAAGTAGAAACTCAGTAAATACTAAATAACACCTACTAATCCCAATATACCCAATTGAACTCATGGCATCTACAACGAAAATCACTTTATGATGAAATAAATAGCATATTGTCAGAGCAAAACTGCAAAAAGATTAACTTATCGTGGGCGCCGGTGCAGAGAACACTTCAACGACTGGAGATGCCGATGACTTTGACGACGACGAGATATGGTCGGTTGACTCACAATGACACCTTTGTCGAAGGTGGGCGTATTGTTACCACGACTGGGAGTGCGGTCGGAGATGAGATATTATGCTTAGGGTTTGGATTTCGGGGCTCCCATTTCGATTTTGGTTCGTGGAGAGAGAAACAGAGGAATCGTGTTCGTGGAGAGAGAGAGGGAGAGGGAGTGTTGTTTCGTCCGATTTGTGGTTTCTTTTCATTTCGTTTAATTCTGAATAATAATAATTAATTGAAGTTACGTCACCCTGGTTTTTGATCTGTTTTTGGCCCTGGACGAGGAGCACTACTGTTTTTGGGAATTGCACCTGATCTTTGGGAGGGCAGAAATGTCCAGTTACCTCAACGGCATCAGCAGATGCTTGTACTTTTTGACACAAAAATAAAAATGGGTGGCAGATGTATTATGCAAATCACTGTAGAAAAACGAGAAAAGTGGGAGGAAATGAGTTCCAAAGCGCAAAATTGAACAATAAAACTCATGTAAAAAACCGTCGATAAATATATCCCAATCTACTAAGCATCACTGTCCATTCCACCGCACGCTTCTTGACAGACTCTGCACTGAGGGCATTCAGCCTTTTGGCCCTTTTCTTTCTTCTCAGCATTGGAAGCAGCAAATAATCAATTCCATTATCTTCTTTCCACATTCTACTGTAACCTATTGTGTCTTCTTCGCAGTACAGATTACTCTTTTATTAAAATCCATAGACAAACAGATTCAGCTTTGCATACTACTATTACTCCTTTATTTTGTTTGTGCCTACATACTTATTTTGTTTGTATTTGATCAGTTGCTGAATTTTACAAAAGAACAAGGGCGTAGTTTGTGGAGTTGGAGAATGCATTTATGGCGTGGAGAACAATGGACAGCTGCTACGGCAGCAATGACGTCGGATCGGTGCTTTTGGACCAACCCTTCAAGCTTTGGTCAAAGATCATAGACACCGTGAGCTGTGGCGGCGGCAAAAGGCCAAAGAAGAAATCTGAGTCGAAAAATTTAATCAGTTTGCCGCAGCAGCCCAGATCCGACAAGTTGTCGGAGCTTTTGAAGCAACCTGAGTGCTGGGAGAATGAGGAGAAGGATGAGGATGTTAGGAGGAAAGAGGAGAAGCTGGAGGAGCTGAAGCGAGTGGCTAAGAAGCTACAGCAGCAAAGTAGCTTGGAGTTGGTTCTGGAGGGTACGACGGAGGTGAGGAGGCTCGCAAAGGAGGATTCTCAAGCCAGAACTACTCTAGCTCTTCTCGGCGTCATTCCGCCCCTTGTGGCTTTGCTCGACGCCGAGGATCCCACTTCTCATTCTCAGATCGCCGCTCTCTATGCTTTGCTCAATCTCGCCATTGCAAATGATGCGTCAGTTCACTTTTACTCTTTTAATTGCGTTTTTCAACTTCTAGATTCCAATTTCTAGATGTAGATGTTGATTCAAATTTTACACCAATCTCTTCTCCTCAGAAACAAAGAAGCCATTGTTAGAGCAGGGGCTTTGCACAAAATGCTGAAGCTCATTCAATCTCCAAGCGATTCGGCTAATCTAGCAGTTACCGAAGCAGTTGTTGCGAATTATCTTGGCTTGAGTGCTTCGGATTCCAATAAACCAATTATAGGTTCTTCAGGTGTAATCCCATATTTAGTGAAAACACTAAAAGATTTTGATGGAACGAGTAGTTACCAAACTAAACATGACTCATTGCGAGCACTGTACAATCTTTCTATCGAGACTACAAATTTGTTCCCAATGTTAGAGACCGATTTGATACCATTTATGTTGAGCAAGCTAGGAGATATGGATGTCAGTGAGAGGATCCTCTCTATTCTTGGCAATGTGGTAGCTATAGGTGGTGGCCGGAAGGCGATCAGCAATGTCCCGGATGCATTTCCGACTCTAATTGATGTGTTGAATTGGACGGATTCTCCGGGGTGCCAAGAAAAAGCATCCTACATTCTAATGGTTATGGCACACAAGTCGTATGGTCATAGGCAGGTCATGATCGAGGCCGGAATTGTTTCATCCTTGCTCGAATTAACACTCGTGGGAAGCACATTAGCACAAAAAAGGGCTTCGAGGATATTGGAGCGTTTACGGGTGGATAAAGGGAAGCAAGTATCGGGAAATTGTGGAGGCGGCGGATTGTCAGCTCCTCTTTGTGGGCCGAATAATCAATTGAAGAAGTCATTAGAGGAAGACGATGACATGATTAGTCAAGAGAGGAATGCAGTGAAGCAACTAGTTCAAACAAGTTTGCAGAACAACATGGAAAGGATGGTGAAGAGGGCTAATTTGCCTCATGATTTTGTTCCTTCAGATCATTTCAAGTCCCTAGCATCAAGCTCAACTTCTAAGAGCTTGACATTTTGAGAGAGTTGAAAATTTCTGACGGGTTCTGTAGTTTCATTTTTACAATCAGGCAGTGTAGAATGATATTAATTAGAATGTTAATTTGGTATTTTGTTGATCATTCTGGGTTCATGTATGATACATTAACAGTGCGTTTGGTATCGATTACTCGAGAAGTTTTTTGACTTCATTTTCTTTTTATCACTTCCATAATATTGTCGATTTCATTGAGCCAATTATGCAATCAGAGGAGTTCAATTTGGATTTTAATGCAATGTACATCCTGAAAACTAAGCTCCTGTTTGGTCTCATTATTGAGATTATAATTTTTGGAAGTGTGATGTGTAGTTAAAAAAAGAAAAATTTTAAATTTACGTGTAATATTGTTTTATTGAAAAATATGAAATTAATAAGATGATTACAAAAGGGAGGAAAAATAGATTATAATTTTCATGAGCGCCAAATGGGGCTAAGAGTTGCCTACTCGATTAGTATTCTGTTAGAATTGACCAAACAGCTGTGAGGAATCTTCCATAGTAGTACGGGTAGACCCTCCTAATCTCCTCGGGAAGTACTCTTGTAGGGTGACAGACTACTGCCCCTTTTTTGTTGATTTAGCCATACAAGGAAGAACCAAGCCGCTCTACTTGGCCATTTAAAGGCCTCACACAAAACGAGGGTGAGCATTTAGAAAAATTCTTTAGGTACAGAAATTTTTTATCAAAAAAAATGACAGATTTTTGGAGTGGGCCCCATGTATAAAATATGGTAAAAAAAATTTTTTCCGCCCTTCCTGTGTGTATTCGGTAGGTACAGGGATTTAAATCCCTATACCTATAGTAGCTCTCGAGCATTTACGGGGCATCGGGGCCCACTTCATATGAGTACCTATAGAGAGCCTGTGAGGCTCAAAACCTGGTAGACAAGCAATGTTAAAACATCTAGGACAGTCATTTAAAAAACAATTTTTAAAATCAATAATCTAGATCTTATTAATACATAGTTTGTAAATAAATTTAGTTCAAGTAGATTAATTCCTTCTAGGAGTGAGAGTATATAATTAATTGGACACTTGGCATTAGTTTATAGGTAGGATTGGTATATTCCTTTTGTATGTAATTGTTTTGTATTGTAATGTGGTAAGTTTAAACAACAATTCAAAGGAATTTCGGGTCCGTTTGATTGTAAAGATGGAATTGAATTGAATTGAAAACGAATTTCAGGGAATTGAATTGCTTAGAAATTGTTTTCCTNGGGAAAATTAAAGAATCAATATCAAATTAAACCTTCCAAAAATACCGTCCAAAAAGATATCAACATTCAATAAAATCGTTACGATAGCAAATAGTTTAAGGAATTTTCCCGATCAACTAACGGTGTTTTGGACGATTTTCATCTAGATAGACCTCAATTGCATGTTTTTGAAAGGTTAGGAGCCTCCGCTGGCACAAAGTGAATGTTAGGATAAATTCTGTAAAAAAGAAAAATGGTAGAGACCGTTGCTGCAATTTTCTGTAACTCCTATTGCCTCTAAATGGTTAATAGCAAGACCGTTTCAAAAAATCTCAATTAAAGCGGCAAACTATTGGTAGATCCTTTGTTTAGGTTTTTATTAAACTTTGAGTGGTTTAAAGGGCAAATAATGGACCAATGTGCAAACTTAATTCTTAAAACATAGGAACTTTGACTTTCGTTTCATCTTTTTAACTACCAAAATTCTTCATTTTTCTAAATGTGAGATGATGTTTCGTTCCTATTCTCCTTTTTGGAAAAAAGATAACATTTATCACACTTTTATAGTAACAAAAAATGGCTACTTTAAAGAAGTAGGACACTTTTTAAGATCGAAAAAGTAACATATCCAATTGAAATGCCTTTTACGTTTTAATATATTTTCTCGAACAATGAATTTGCTGTCTTTGGGAGGGCCTCGATCAATCATGCCACCATTGACTTTTGCTTCGACGGCAACAATCCCCAATGCTCTTATTTTCATTGTATATAATGAAGGGCATGAATCAAAATATTTTCAATCATTGCTCAAACTTATTCGTGAATCGTACATTTATGTTACATAGATTTTATTGTTGGAGCTTGAATTAAATTACTTCTAGGAGTCCTAGTAGAACATTACTTGTTTGAGTGCCGTATATTGTATGATGAGAATGCTGTGTGTACAAACAACATTGTTCACGGAAAGGCCACAAAATACTCACAAGAGAGAGGGGTTGGGTGATTTTTTTGGTATTTTTCTTATTACAACATGGGACCTACCCATGTGAGTGTATAGATAAATTATGTGAGGAAAATTTTTGTACACAACAATTTTGTTGCATAATAGGAAAATGTACAAGTTCAGTTCCGATCACCAAGTAGTTACACAAATTTCCAAAATTGATGAAAATTGCTAGTTGGCAATCGTAATGTAATGAGTTTTTAATGTGATCGCTTTGTGTCGTGTTAATTTATCACTACTCCACATAATAAAAGTGTTAAGTTCAAAAAGAAATGCATTTTAACATTTTAATTTAAAGACATTGCCATATCTTGCATTCTACCATTTTCATTTCTAGGATATTACGTAGCTATTATGTGGAAAACCATAGTACAACTATCAACTAAGTAGTTTTTGCCAATTTCGGAAGCGATGTGTGATGGAAGTAACAAATTCGTGAAATTTAAAGCTAAATTAAAGGTCGGTGATCCAATTGAGATAAAATTATGCTTATAGTTCGGTGACTGCGATTGAAACTTAATCCAGTTCTTCCACTTTTTTAACCCTGAAATGTCAATTCTTAATAAATGAAAATATATAAATGCATCATATCACGGATAAATTACAAATTAAATGCAGGATTGTAGGAAAAATGAGTAACTGACTTACTTTTGACAAAATTTTCTGTGGGATCCATTGGTCCAATTTGGAAGATCAGAGTTGATCCGTGTTCTTCTTCGTGAGAGCATCAAAATCATATATTTACTTGCCAAAATTGATAAATGGATGCATGAGAAATTTGAACTCAAAAATGACCATTGAAAGATGGTTTATGTGGGAAAATAAGGTTTGCCCCACATAAGAAAAATATGAGAGCAAAAACCATTTTAAATATGGTTACATATTGGAAGGGTGTAATCATGTATAGCATAAAAGCTCTTCTACGTGCACCCGCAGGGGATGCAAATCACGGACCGAAATAACCTTCGGATCTTGAACTTGTGTACGGACGCGACCTGCGTACACGAATGTCGAACCAAACGGAGCAAAAATTAGCCCATTTGGAGTGTCCACGTTTCACAATTTTTCTTCTTACTTTCTCCACTAACTTTTTGAGTTTCTGAAATTTCTAAAACTCCCAGAAACTGAAGTGACTCCAACGTTTATTGCCATAGAGTTAATGACAGATTTATATTATATTAAATTTCAATTTTCCAACAATTGGAAACACATGAAAATCTCACCAAAAAAACACACAGAATTACAGTTTGCACACTGCATAATTTTGTTTTGTCTGCATATACCTAATCTCAGTTTCTGTCCAAAGTCGTGGTGGTAATATTGTTCAATACAAACTCAGTTTGTCGGAGTAGTTTTTGCAGTACTCAAATTCTACTGTTACCATTATATCTTGGAAAACAGATGCTCAGATTAAATCTTAAGCACTTACAGTAGGGGAGCGATCTGTTTTAAGGAAACTGTGCTCGTACAGGCCTCGGGTTGAGAATTTATTTATCTTCTACAATTTAAATATTGCAATTTATTTTTGCAGATTATTTATTTAGCGATTTACACATTTGTAATTTATTTGATTCATATATTTTGCAGTTTACTTATTTGTTATATTTATGTTAGGAATAAAAATTGAAAAAAAAATCTGAAGTTTCTTGTTAATAGTTGGTAAATGCAATTTGGTATATGTTAGTTGCATATACGACATTTAATCTCTCATTGTATTTATATAAAATAGCTAAAACCAATTTTTGCCAAATATGGTTAGAAGCATATACGATAGGCAGAATATATAGGAAGTTGTAAATACGGTAGGGTGTAAATACGGTAAGTTGCCTGCAAATACGGTAAGCGACAAATACGGTAAACTGCATATACGATAAGCTTTCTACAAAGATGGTAAGATGCATATACGGTATGCTTAAAATCAGTATCTATACGGTATGCGATAATTCGATTTCATTAACACCACTAAATTCCAACAAACTTAAAATAGATTTCTAAGGAAAGAATTGGTTTTTTATACCGTTAATTTTTACCCTGTTAAAGGAAAAATTGCAGTCGAGGTACCAAACCTTTCGTTTATTAGCAGACTTTGTCCAAACCATTTATTTGTGCCATCAGAGGTACCAAACTTTTCAAAAATTCGTATCCGAAGTCCAAATGAATGGAAACCGTTAGTAAATCCGTTGGTTGACTTAGACTCAACATTTTGCTCAAATTTTGACGGCATTTTAAAGGGTAAAAATGTAACATTAGATTTTTATATTAAAGAATTAAAATAATTAAATTAAAAATCCAAAAATAAAATAAAAAGAAAAGAGTTTCTTCTTCTTCTTCTTCTTCCCTACGCAGTCGATCCCGTCCCGCCCAACTGCCATAGCCATCTTTGGCGGCCACCATTGTTGTACTTGTGTTTTTTCCTCTTTCTTGAGGACTCGTCGTCCTCACCGCCCAACTCACCAACTCGATACCTCTTCAAACTCGGCATTACCAATTTCAAGTTCTTTATTATCATCCTACTACAGAATCCCTAGTTCAATGGTAAAAAAGACAATTTTTTACTATGGAGCCCTAATTCCTCTTACAAACTCTAGCACAACCCAAAAAATCTTCCGTGCAAAACAGAAAATACCTTTCACCCCCAAACAAAATTGAAAATTCAAAAATTCTTAATTTCCATGGAAAAAAAAAAACTCAAATTTTGATGTTCGGAGAGAAATATACGAGTCAAGATCTCTGTTCCAATAAGCTCTCTCTAACTGCTCCGGGTCTTGATGAGAGAGAGACGACTAACACAATGTCATTTTATATATTGCCGTGTATGTATATGTGTAAGTACAAGACTCTACGTGTGAATAAGAAGAAGAAAAGTTTTTCAAATTCTTTTCTTTTTATTTTATTTTTGGATTTTTAATTTAATTATATTAATTCTTTAATATAAAAACTTAATGTTATATTTT